TTCAAATGACTTAGGATGAAAAACACCCTCTGACATAGTTATGGGAGACAATGCTATCATTGCAAATGGGCGATGGTGGGCATCTTACTATACAATCCAAAAAGAAATCTCCAAAAGTTTGACACCCCCGCCCTTCCTCCCCCCCAGTCTTCATCCTTTCAATACTGGAAAACAAAGCTGCAGGAAAATTCTGTCGGCTGATGGGCAGATCTGATGGGCACCTGGTTGCAGAAGATGTTATTTCTTCAATGAAGGAGAATATTTGTTGGTCTCTGAGCTGGCTTGTTTTCTTGCAGACGTTTCATGACCCAACTAGGTAACATCATCAGTGCTAAAAGGGAATGGGGTTTGTGGCGAGTAGTAGTAGTAGTAGTAGTAGTAGTAGTAGTAGTAGTAGTCCTGTGGCATTCTTGGTGCTCTCTGAGCTTGGTGGTTTTCTTGCAGACGTTTCATTACCCAACTAGGTAACATTATCAGTGCTAGAAGGGGGGGGAGGAGGAGAAGGAGGAGTACTGTGGGGTCCTTGGTGCTCTGTGAACTTGGTGGTTTTCTTACAGACATTTCATTACCCAACTACGTAATGTTATCATTGCTAGAAGGGAGAGAGAGGAGGAGGAGGAGGAGGAGCAAGAGGCCTGTGGGGTTCTTGGTGCTCTCTGAGCTTGGTTGTATTCTTACAGACGTTTCATTACCCAAACTAGAATAGAATAGAATAGAGCTGGAAGGGACCTTGGAGATCTTCTAGTCCAGCCCCCTGCTCAAGCAGGAGAACCTATACCATCTCAGACAAGTGACTGTCTAGCCTCTTCTTAAAAACCTCCAGTGATGGAGTGCCCACGATTTCTGAAGAAAAGCTGTTCCACTGGTTGATTGTCCTCACTGTCAGGAAGTTTCTCCTTAATTCCAGGTTGCTTCTCTCTTTGATCAGTTTCCAACCTTTGTTTCTTCTCCTGCCCTCTGGTGCTTTGGAGAATAATTTGACCCCTAGCACCGACGATGTTACCTACTTTGACTTATGAAATGTCTGCAAGGAAAGAACCAAGCTCAGGGAGCACCAAGGACCCCCCCCCTTAGTGTCGTTGTATCTTCCAACCCCCCAAGAAACCCACAGAACGCAAGAGGGTAGAAAGTTATAAGGTTTGATAGACGGTGCACTACTGCCACCCGCAGGCTGAAAGAGGAAGTATTTTGCTATGACATAATTCTAGGTCGACGTCTATTCCAACTGGTTGGGGCAAACATTTCAGAAATAATTCTGGGCTTTATGGTAGAGCTTTCCCCTTGTATCCCTTTAATGTCGATTCCTTCTTTTTTCTGGGGTAGAGAGTAAAAAAAAAATAGGGAAAAATCAATAACAGGAGGATGGAGGAATATAACACAAAATGTTCTTTTAGGAAAAAGTACTCCTGAGCGTGAACTTAAATGGACTCCAGAAGATGGTAGAGGACAGGAAGACCTGGAGGAACGTTGTCCATGGGGTCGCAATGGGTCGGACACGATTTTGCAATTAACAACAACAACAACAACAACTCCTGAGCATTAAAAAAAACCCTACGTATTTCTTTGGTATGCATTTCCTCCCCTTATTCTTAGGAGAGGGTTAGAAATGGAGAAGAATTCAATTCTATGAATCAGGCCTCCAATCAAAGTTTGAAATGTTATCAATGTAGCATATAATAATAATAATAATAATAATAAAGTTGGAAGGGACCTTGGAGGTCATCTAGTCCAACCCCCTGCTCAGGCAGGAAACCCTATACCATTTCAGACAAATGGCGGTCCAGTCTCTTCTTAAAAACCTCCAGTGTTGGAGCATTCACTGCTTCTGGAGGCAGGTTGTTCCACTGGTTAATTGTTCTAACGGTCAGGAAGTTTCTCCTTAATTCCAGGTTGCTTCTCTCCTTGATTAGTTTCGATCCGTTGCTTCTTGTCCTGCCTTCAGGTGCTTTGCAGAATAGCTTGACTCCCTCTTCTTTGGGGCAGCCCCTGAGATACTGGAAGGCTGCTATCATGTCCCCCCTCCTCCTTCTCTTCATTCAACTAGACCAAGGGTAGGCAACCTTGGCTCTTTTATGACTCATGGACTTCAACTCCCAGCTATGCTGGCTCAGGAATTCTGGGAGTTGAAGTCCATGAGTCATAAAAGAGCCAAGGTTGCCTACCCCTGAACTAGACATCCCCAATTCCAGCAACCGTTCCTTATATGTTTTAGCCTCCAATCCCCTAATCATCTTTGTTGCTCTTCTCTGTACTCTTTCTAGAGTCTCAACATCTTTTTTACATCGTGGTGACCAAAACTGGATGCAGGATTCCAAGTGTGGCCTTACCAAGGCATTGTGTGGTGGTATGCTTACTAATAAACCACAGTACTTATACTAGGATTACTGGGGATGCAATGGCTGAGTGGTTAGAGACACTGAGCTTTGTCAGCTAGACCAGGCAAGCTCCTGTTCCTTGCTTCACCTCCTATCCATCTAGCACAGTGTTTCTCAACCTTGACAATTTCAAGGCATGTGGACTTCAACTCCCAGAATTCCACAGCCAGCATTGCTGGCTGTGGAATTCTGGGAGTTGAAGTCCACATGCCTTAAAATTGCCAAGGTTGAGAAACACTAATCTAGCAGTTTGAAAGCAGGCAAATGTTGGCATGCAATAAATCCGTTCTCAATTTTTGAAGGCGCCAAGATCTTTTGAAGAGGCAATTTTGTTCCTCAGACCAGCTGGTGATAAAGATTAAACACCTTTCTACAATGAGGACAGCTGTTCACTTGTGAATGGGTGCTTCTGTAAAATCAGTTTGAAATGGAAAATACGGTCCAGACTGGAAGATCAGTCTAAAAAAAAAACCAGCAACGTCTCTGATGGCTGGGAGATTTCAGTCTGTTTTTTAATGTGCAATCTAATTTTCCCTGTCTGTGTTCAGGTCAAGGCAGGAATTTAACAAAACATATATGGTGTGGGACAGGGTGCTTCCACTTCCAGACCAACTAACAGAATAAAAGAGTTAGAAGGGGCTTTGGAGGTCTTCTAGTCCATCCCCCTGTTCAAGCAGGGAATTTGGGTTCGTTTTTCTTATAAATTGGTTTCCTGTATAATTTTTTGGGGGTCACTTTTAATTTGTTTTGTTACTGAATTCCCTTTCCCTTTTAGTTTAGTTTGCATTTTAACGTTTGAGGTTCAAATAAGATAAACATATTATAAAAAAAACATTTATAGAATCCTGAATGGGGAGTAGCAGAGTATATAAGGGCTAGCTGGGTTCACAAAATCATTTGTCTAGGCCAGGGATAGGCAATCTTGGCTCTTTTATAACTCGTGGACTTCAATTCCCAGAATTCCTGAGCCAACCATGCTGAAGGGAAAGGGAGAGTTTCCAAGCTGAGCCAGGCTGGCTCAGGAATTCTGGGAGTTGAAGTCCATGAGTCATAAAAGAGCCAAGGTTGCCTACCCCTGGTCTGAATTATTCACATCTTGACATGTAATAAAGTGAAGCTTCTAGGCCAGGGCTAGGCAAACTTGCTCTTTTATGACTTGTGGACTTCAACTCCCAGAATTCCTGAGCCAGCATGGCTCAGCTTGGAAACCTCTCACTTTCCCCTCAGCATGGCTGGCTCAGGAATTGTGGGAGTTGAAGTCCACGAGTCATAAAAGAGCCAAGATTGCCTATCTCTGGCCTAGGCCTAGGCCGCTCTATGACTTGTGGACTTCAACTCCCAGAATTCCTGAGCCAGAATGGCTCAGCTTGGAAACTCTCCCTTTCCCCTCAGCATGGCTGGCTCAGGAATTCTGGGAGTTGAAGTCCACGAGTCATAAAAGCAGTGCTTTTTTTCTAAAAAAAAAAAAAAAAAAAAGGTGCCGGAACTCACACACGTCATACAACCTGCCTTGCCGACCCTATAAGGTTCCGTCCAAAAAAGGTGCCGGAACTCCGTTCTGGGCGTTCTTTGAGAAAAAAAGCCCAGCATAAAAGAGCCAAGGTTGCCTACCCCTGGTTTAGACAAAAAATGGGGTTGGATAGCTTGGGCTATAATGTGATAGCTCAGCCATTGTCTGAACCTGTTTCCATCATGGTAAGTCATATTATGGTTGAGAATACAGAATACAGTACAGACTAACAGAGTTGGGAAGGGATCTTGGAGGTCTTCTAGTCCAACCCCCTGCTCAAGCAGGAGACTGTATACAAATGGATGTCCAATCTCTTCTTAAAATCCTCCAGTGATGCAGAACCTAAAATTTCCGGAGGGAAGACGTTTCACTGATTGTTTCCACTGATAAGAAATTTCTCTTTAATTCTAGGTTGGTCCTCTCCTTGATTAGTTTCCATCCATTGCTTCTTGTCCTGCCTTCAGGTGCTTCGGAGAATGGCTTGACTCCCTCTTCTTTGGGGCAGCCCCTCAAATATTGGGACACTGCTATCATGCCCCCCGCTAGTCCTTCTTTTCATTAAACTAGACATACCCAATTCCAGCAACCGTTCCTTATCTGTTTTAGCCACTGGTGGGATTCAAATAACTGAATAACCGGTTCTCTGTGTGGGTGCCGCTTCCGGATGTCCATTGTGGGCCTGGGCAACAAAAAAATTAGCTACCGGTTCTGTTGAAGTGGTGCGAACTGGCTGAATCCCACCACTGGATTTAGCTTCCAGTCCCCTGATCATCTTTGTTGCTCTTCTCTGCACTCTTTCCAGAGTCTCAACATCTTTTTTATAATGTGGTGACCAAAACTGGATGCAGGATTCCAAGTGTGGCCTTACCAAAGCAATGTAAAGAGGTACTAACTCTTCACATGACCTTAATACTACCAAAGCACTTGTGTTTTCTTTAACAACATTAAGAGGTTGGCACGCTAGACTGGCCCAGGCTCACTCTTTTTCTAGTTTCCCACCTACCTGACAATTTTTTTTAAAAAAGAGAACGTTCTCAGGATTTGTTTTCTATGCAGTCAATTAGGAAACAAATGGTAGCAATTGGGTCTTTGACCTGAAAAACAGCAACAACACCTTGATGGATTAATTCAATTACAGTTTTTAATTCTTTTGTGTACATTTTGGGGAGCAGGGACTTGGAACACCTGTTCCATCTCCACTTAATCAAGTCTCATCCAGTTAAACTTGACTCATTAATTGCTGTAAAGAAACAAGGGTTTATGTGATGAATATTCTCTAAACAGAACACATTTTACACACAAAACACATATAGCTTCTTCTTAAATGTTTTTCTGAATTCCTAATCTAGTGCATACTTCTTCCCTGGTTTCTGATCCATGTATTAACGAGGTCTGACCATTTTTTGAACCCTGTCAATCAATCCCAATTAACTAACACCTCTCAATTTCAGTGATGGTGACCTGATTCCCCTAGATTAGAGGTCTTCAAACTTGGCCCTTTTATGACTTGTGGACTTCAACTCCCAGAATTCCTCAGCCAGCATGCCTGGCTGAGGAATTCTGGGATCTGAAGTCCACAAGTCATAAAAGGGCCAAGTATGAAGACCCTCTGACCTACATAATTGGGTGCTAAGGGGGGAGGAGTGGTTCATTCATAGCTGATTTAATCAATCTCTATTCTATTAGGTGGGTTCACACAACTTGCTAAATCCTAAACCTCAGTTTGACCAACCATAATAGTAAGATTTGAAGACTAATAACCCCAAATTAAATAAAACATGTAATGGCTTAAGTCAACGACTATAATTTCAAAGTGTAGAGTCTTCTCTCTTTCTTTGATTCTTTGAAATGATCAGAAGACTTAACCTCTGCCGATGCCTACAAGCAGCAAGGGAAAGGGTTTTTGGAATTTTATTGCTGAGCCAGGCCTTTGGATGTCCCCAGTTATTTAAGGATGGAACCAGGAACCCTGGTGGTATTGCAGGCTAACTCTGTCCACTGTCTGGAGTTCGATCCTGATGGGGCTCAAGGCTGACTCAGCCTTCCATCCTTCCAAGGTCAATAAAATGAGGACCCAGATTGTTGGGGGCAATAGGCTGACTCTGTAAACTGCCCAGAGAATGCTGTAAAGCACGGTGGAGAGGTATATAAGTGCTATTGTTATTGCTAAGTTCTCCAAAAGTGCAGTGTGTAGAAGGAGGATCAGAATAACAGAGTTGGGAGGGATTTTGGAGGTCTTCTAATCCAATCCCCTGCTCAAGCAGGAGACCCTATAGTCCAGGGGTAGGCAACCTTGGCTCTTTTATGACTCATGGACTTCAACTCCCAGAATTCCCGAGCCAGCATAGCTGGCTCAGGAATTCTGGGAGTTGAAGTCCATGAGTCATAAAAGAGCCAAGGTTGCCTACCTCTGCCTATACCATTTCAGACAAATGGTTGTCCTATCTCTTCTTAAAAACGTCCAGTGTTGGAGCATTCACAGCTTCTGAAGGCAAGCCGTTCCACTCATTAATTGTTCTGTCAAGAAATTCCTCCTTAGTTCTAGGTTGGTTCTCTCCTTGATTACTTTCCATCCGTTGCTTTTTAGCCTGCCTTCAGGTGCTTTGGAAAATAGGTTGACCCCCTCGTCTCTGTGACAGCCCCTTAGATATTGAACACAACTATCATTTCACCCTTATTCCTTTTCATTAAGCTAAACGTTCCCAATTCCTGAAACCGTTCTTCATATGTTTTAGCCTCCAGTCTCCTAATCATCTTTGTTGCTCTTCTCTGCACGCTTTCTAGAATCTCAACATCTTTTTTACATTGTGGTGACCAAAACAGGATGCAGCATGCCAAGTGTGGCCTTACCAAGGCCTTGTAAAGTGCTACTAACACTTCACGTGATCCTGATTCTATCTCTTTGTTAATGCAGCCTAGCACTGTGTTGGCTTTTTTGGCAGCTGCCTCACACTGCTGGCTCATATTTAAGAGAATGTCCACGAGGACAGCAGTCCCCAATCTTTACAGCTTGGTGGCCCAGCGAGGAGGGGGGGAGAGGGGAACCGCCTCAGTGCTTGTGTAAATCAAGGTGCGTGTGTGTGCGCCGGCCCGCTACTTCTGCAAGTCGAGCTGCGGCACGCACACCTGTGCTGGCCAGCTGCTTTGCATGGCCTGATTCTGAACAGGGGGTTTGTGATCCTTCACTAAGATTTTATTTATTTATTTCTTTATTTATAAAATTTATAAGCCGCCCCACTCCCGAACGACTCTGGGCGGCTAACAATAAAAAACACATAAAACATAACAAAACAAACAATACAAAGACAGTCATCCAGGGGTCAGGTTTTATAAACCCCAGGCCTGCCGGAAAAGCCAGGTCTTAAGTAGCTTACGGAAGACCAACAGGGTGGGAGCGGTCCTAATCTCCGGGGGGAGCTAGTTCCAAAGCGTGGGCGCCATCACAGAGAAGGCCCTCCTCCGCGGCCCCGCCAAATGGCACTACTTGGCCAACGGGGCCTGAAGGAGACCCAGCCTGTGGGATCTAACTGGACGTAGGGAACTATGAAGTAGTAGGCGGTCTCGCAAATAGCCTGGCCCTGAGCCATATAGGGCTTTAAAGGTAATGACCAACACCTTGAATTGGACCCGAAGACCAATAGGCAACCAGTGCAGCTCACGGAGGATAGGTGTAATGTGGGTGTATCGAGGAGCACCCACTATCACTCACGCGGCTGCATTCTGGACCAACTGTAGTCTCCGAATACTTTTCAAGGGTAGCCCCATGTAGAGCGCGTTGCAGTAGTCCAGATGATTTCCTGAATAACCTGAATAAGTTACGGTGAATTGTCAGGTGCGGAATATGAGGTATGGTTATGTTCTTTGTTCAGAAGAACATACTGTACTAGCAAGTTGGCTGGGAGTCCTCATGAGTTAAAAAACTCTTTTGCTAAATGGGGAGAGCTCGGACCTTACCTGTATCCCACAATATATTGGAGGTGCGTTCAGATGACAGCACTTGGTAGCGTAACCAATCCTTTGTTCAAGCAGAGTAGACACCTGATCCTCTGTGTTCAAAGTACCAGCCGGGAGCAGGGTTAATACATTTGCTTTTAGCCTGCAGTTTGATACAGGAACATGTTGGTCAGATAGCCAACCCCTGCGGCGTGACAGAAATCAGATTTCTACGCAAGTAATGGTGGAAACTTTACCTCTTGAGGAATTCCACATAAGTGTGATCTGCATATTCCCCACAAATCTCATTCCCTTTTTCTACCAAAGCCTGCAAAGGCGCTATTGTGGAGTCCTAGAAGTCAGGAGAAAGTAACACGATGCGTTAGTGAAGAATATTGCCACACGATGTAGTATTCTAGCAAAGTTGCCTGATCTATGACAGGGGTTTTCAAACTTGGCCCTTTTATGACTTGTGGACTTCAACTCCCAGAATTCCTCAGCCAGGCACGCCTGCCTGGCTGAGGAATTCTGGGAGTTGAAGTCCACAAGTCATAAAAGGGCTAAGTTTGAAGACCTCTGATCTATGAGATCTGGTCTGATTCCAATTGTCTTCTGTAAAATTGTAAGGAGGTCTGGAAATAAAATATGTCCTGCTTCCCTGAAGATAGCATCTCACGCATGCGTGCCCCCAGATGAACAAGTGACATCATCTGTAGGAGAAAGAGTGGAAGAACCTGGGGTGGAGTTAATAGAGGGATCAGCCTAGAATCCCCACATAGCCACAAGCAATCTAAGTCCAATCTCCCTTGAATTATATTGACTTTTATCTAACTCCAAGCAGGTGCTAACTGTTATTTGCATAGGTTTTAGCAATAAATCAGTTTAATTGGACTTTCACATGTGGATCTGGCCATCTATGCCTGACTCTCTATCTCTATCTCTCTATCTCTATCTCTATCATCTCCATCTCCGTTTCTATCTCTATCATCTCTATCTATCTCTATTTCTATCATCTTTATCTCTATTATCTCCAGTGCTTTTTTTTTTTTAAAAAAAGGTGCCGGAACTCACACACATCATACAACCAGCCTTGCCTACCCTACAAGGTTCCATCCAAAAAAGGTGCCGGAACTCCGTTCTGGGCGTTCTATGAGAAAAAAAGCCCTGATTATCTCTATTTCTATCATCTCTCTCTATCCTCTCTATCTATCTATTTCTCTTTCTATCTCTATTTCTATCTATCATCTTATCTCTATCCTCTCTATCTCTATCTATTGATATCTCTATTATCTCTATCACTATCTCTATCATCTCTCTCTCTCTTTCTCTCTATCATCTCTCTCTCACACACACACTGACATCTTCACATACACACACAAACACACATCTATCTCTACATCTATATCTGTAGGAGAAACAGTGGCAGAACCTAGGGGTGGAGTTAAAAGAGGAATCAGCCTAGAATCCCTACATAGCCACAAGCAATCTAAGTCCAATCTCCCTTGAATTCCTTTGACTTTTATCTAACTCCAAACAGGTGCTGACCCTTAATTGAGAAGATTTCTGAGGATAAGGCTGTTGAGCGACAAATCACTTTTATTTGGACCTTCACACATGGACCTGATCTTTTGTGCTTTGACATCATCTCAGAAGATTCTGAATTTTTACCCTTTCCGCAAAACAACGTCTGACGTCTACTAAGTCACAGCAGTCAGTGGCGGCAGCTTGGCTGGCAGAATACAAAGTAATGATAAGAGCCTCTGGAGCACGGGTATATATCCGAGCCACGTCAAAAATATTTCTGCAAAAGAAAGAAAGAAAGGTAAGGTAGAAAGGTGGAACTTTGGCATCCATTGCAGTCTTGACAGCTACAAATTAATGACAGTAACATATATCATTTTTAGGAGAGATGTCGGAAATGGTATAGGGTCTCCTACAGGATCAAGGGGTTGAAGTGGAAGACCTCCAATTCCTGAACATGGCTGGCTACCATTTCAGACAAATGGCTGTCCAGTATCTTCTTAAAAACCTCCAGTGATGGAGCATCCACAACGTCTGAAGGCAAACCGCTCCAGTGGTAAATAGTCCTCACTGTTAGGAAGTTTCTCCTTATTTCCAGGTTGCTTCTCTCCTTGATTAGTTTCCCTCCATTGTTCCTTGTCTTGCCTTCAGGTGCTTTGGAAAATAGGTTGACCTCCTCCACTTTGTGGAAGCCCCTCAGATACTGGAATACTGCTATCGTGTCCCCCCAGTCCTTCTTTTCTCTAGGCTGTTTTAGTCTCCAGGCCTTTAATCATCTTAGTTGCTCTTCTTTGCGCTTTTTCCAAAGTCTCAGCAACTTTTTTGGTCATGTGGTGACCAAAACAGGCCTTACTAAGGCTTTATAAAGTGGTACTAATACTTCATGTGATTTTGACTCTGTTTATACAACCAAGGATTGTGTTAGCTTTTTTGGCTGCTGCCGCACACTTCAATACTACTACTACTACTACTAATACTAATACTAATAATAATGTTGGAAGGGACCTTGGAGGTCATCAAGTCCAACCCCCTGCTCAGGCAGGTAACCCTATACCATTTCGGACAAACGGCTGTCCAGTCTCTTCTTAAAAACTTCCAGCGTTGGAGCATTCACCGCTTCTGGGGACAGATTATTCCACTGGTTAATTGTTCTAACTTTTAGGAAGTTTCTCCTTAGTTCTAGGTTGCTTCTCTCTTTAGTTAGTTTCCATTGTTGTTTCTTGTCCTGGCTTCAGGTGCTTTGCAGAATAGCTTGACTCCCTCTTCTTTGGGGCAGCCCCTGATATATTGGAACACGGCTATCATGTCCCCCCTTGTCCTTCTCTTCGCTAAACTTGTCATACCAATTCCAGCAACCGTTCCTTATATGTTTTAGCCTCAAGTCTCCTGATCATCTTTGTTGCTCTTCTCCGCACTCTTTCTAGAGTCTCAACATCTTTTTTACATTCTGATGACCAAAACTGGATCCCGTATTCCAAGTGTGGCCTTACCAAGGCCTTGTAAAATGGTATTAACGCTTCACGTGATCTTGATTCTATCCCTCTGTTAATGCAGCCTAGCACTGGGTTAGCTTTTTTGGCAGCTGCAGCACACGGCTGGCTCATACTTAAGTGATTGTCCACTAGGACTCCCTCTCACAGTTGCTACTACTGAGCAAGGTACTCCCTATACTATACCTGTACATTTGGTATGTCTGGCTCCTGTTTATCATGTTTTAAATCTAAAAAAATAAATACATCTCTGCAGGACTTTCTTTCTCATAGAACGGCCAGAACGGAGTTCCGGCACCTTTTTTGGATGGAACCTTGTAGAGTAGTCAAGGCGGGTTGTATGATGTGTGTGAGTTCTGGCATCTTTTTTTTTTTTTTTTTTTTATAGAAAAAAAGCACTGCATCTCTGGGTTCCAGAGAGAATGACTGTCTTCCTCAAATCCCCATGAAATGGTTAAAAAGCACTGCAGGCAAATCCTGTCCCTAGAGAAGGAGAAAAAAAACAGTTCCAAATCCACTTACCGATAAACGTCTATTTCACCACCTTCTCTGCAAACACCTTCATCAATCAAACTGGGAGACTGAGGGGCTTCTGAACGTTTGGCCCACGGGAGCGAGTAAATGCACAAGTATTTTCCCACGTCATCTTTCGTAGTGCAACAGGTTCTGATCCTTTCATTCCCAGCACAGGCCGTGTTGCAGATGTGGGCGATGTGACGTTTGAGCTGGAAGACAGGAGAACATGGCCCTTACGACGCAAGCAAGGCAGGCCGACTGGATTGAGAGAGCTGCATTGAATGGATCCTGACTCCCTTAGAAAACCCCTTCTTTTTGATTTTTTTTTTTAAAAATAAAAAATCAGATTGTCCTCGACTTACGACCACAATAGAGCCCACAATTTCCGTTGGTAAGTGAGAAGAGCCCACCTCCATTCTTCTATACAGGTGGACCTATATGTCTGTGGCAGGGGTGGGCAACCCTAAACACTCAAAGAGCCACTCGGACCCGTTTCCCACAGAAAACACTGGGAGCTGCAAAACTCGTGCGCGCATGCGTGCACGCCGGAGGGGAGGATTGATTAAAGAGTTTAATTAAAAAGAAATAGATGGTGCTGTGCATGAGTTCTCTCTCTCTCTCTCTCTCTCTCTCTCTCTCTCTCTCTTTCCTCTCTCTCTCCCTCTCTCCCCCCTCTCTTTCTCTCTCTCTCTCTCTCCCTATCTCTCTTTCTCTCCCTCTTCCTCTCTTTCTCTCTCTCTTTCCTCTCTTTCTCTCTCCTCTCTCTCCCTCTGTCCCTCTCTCCCCCTCTCTTTCTCTCTCTCTCCCTATCTCTCTCTCCCTCTCTCTTTCTCTCCCTCTCCCTTTCTCTTTCTCTCTCTCTTTCCTCTCCCTCTCTCTCTTCCCCTCTCTCTTTCTCTCTCTCTCCTCTCTCTCTCCCTGTCCCTCTCTCCCCCCTCTCTTTCTCTCTCTCCTTATCTCTCTTTCTCTCCCTCTCTCTCTTTCCCTCTCCCTTTCTCTCTCTTTCCTCTCCCTCTCTCTTTCTCTCTCTCCCCCCTCTTTCTCTCTCTCTCCCTCTCTCTCTCTCTCCTCTCTCTCTCCCTCTGTCCCTCTCTCCTCCCTCTCTCTCTCTCCCTCTCTCTTTCTCTCTCTCTTTCTCTCTCTCTCGCTTTCCTCTCCCTCTCTTTCTTCTCCCCTCTCTCTTTCTCTCTCTCTCTCTCTTCCCCCCTCTCTCCCTCTCCGATCTTCTGGCAGGCTGGCTTCATGCTGTTCTCAGACAAGCTGACACAAATTCTCATTGGGCTGGCTCTCTCCTGCCCTTGGTCTGCCAGTCCTCTTCCCCCACTCAGTGTGTGTGTGTGTGTGTGTGAGAGAGAGAGAGAGAGAGAGAGAGAGAGAGAGAAGGGAAGCGCAAGTGCCTCTCTCTGTCTCTCTCTCTGCAAATGGCGGAGGCTGGGAGCCGCAGGAGAAGGCTGAAAGAGCCAAATGCGGCTCCGGAGCCGCGGGCTGCCAACCTGTGGTCTATGGAGATTTTCAGCCATCCAGGTCATACTTATCCCAAAGGTGCTTTTTCACAAGGCAACTGGAGTTCCTTGTTTTTCTTTGAAGATGTTTCTGCATTTAAATGACAAAGGCCGCTCTTTTGAAGACAGCAAAGTCCACATTTTGGACAGAGAGGACCACTGGTTTGAAAGGGGGTCAAAGAGGCCATCTGTGTCAAAATTGAACAGTCCTCTCTCAACAGAGGGGGGAGGTTTTACAATATTATCTATCTCCGGTCTACAGCACAGTCCTTTCAGCAGTTCCAAGAAGGCTCCACACCCATTTGCACCACTCAGGTGACCCTGAGGACCCAGATAAACCTCCAAGTGGCCTCAACGACACTCTAAAAATGCAAATGACCAGCTGTCTGCAAAGAATATAAATCCTTCCCTTCCCCTCCATCCAGTCAGAGCTGAAGAAGCTTCTTGGAGGAGAAGCGAAACGTCTTCAAAACAAAAACAAGAGAGTCCAGTTGTCTTGTGAAAAAGCACCTTTGGGATTCTCGACGTATGTCCATTTCTTTTAGTGCAGTGGTTCTCAACCTTTTTAATGCCGCGACCTCCAACCGGTCGTAAGTCGAGGACTACTCAACCGGTCGTAAGTCGAGGACTACTCAACTGGTGCAGCACCGTTTGCAGACTGGGGCTTTTGGCGGGCTCAGCAGGGCAGAGACAGCCTGGACAATTCCCATTGGCTTTTGAAAGCCAATAGAATTAGACTCTATTCAAGAGAGTCTATTCTATTGGCTTTCAAAAGCCAATAGAATAAAAGGGAGTAGCACAGCTAAGGAAAAGGGGAAAAAAAATGGCGGACTGCGTTGTTTGGCAACCCCCGTGAAATGGTCGTTCGACCCCAAATGGGGTCCCGGCCCACAGGTTGAGAACCACTGTTTTAGTGGCTGTTTGATGTTATAGCAGCACTGAAAAAGCGACTTCTCACACTGATGACCATTGCAGCATCCCCATGATCACGTGATCAACATTCGGATGCTTGGCAATGTATTCATGAGGGTTGCAGTGTCCTGGGGGGTCACACAAAGATCCCCTTTCACGATCTTCCGACAAGCAAAGTCAAGCGGGAAGCCAGATTCACTTAACAACTGTTTTTCTAACGTAACAACTGCAGGGATTTCAGATTCACTGCAGATTCACTTAACAACTCTGGCAATAAGATGATAAAATGGGTGCAAAACTCACTTAGCAGCTATATCGCTTAGCCCATGGAAACTTTGGGCTCAGTCATGGTTGTTTGCTGAGAACTACCTATAGCAGTGATGGCGAACCTTTTAGAGACCGAGTGCCCAAACTGCAACCCCAAACCCACTTATTTATCGCCGGGTGACAGGTGGGTGTGGCCCATTGCGTGGGCATGGCTATGGTAGTCATGGCAGACTGGGTGGGTGTGGCCAAGGGAGGCATGGTCACCTCGATGTTGCTCGTGGGGAGGGACGCCTGTGGGGGCTGGGCAGGGTTGGGGGAGATCCAGGGGGTCTCTGGCAGGTGGGGCAGTGGGCAGGAGGCTCGTCCTGCGGGATGAGGTGAGGCAGGGCAGGGGTGCCATTGTCACAGAGCAAAGCGAGGCAGGGGTCAGGGTGGCTGCTGTCTGACACCATGAACCCTCGCACACAGAGGCCAGCAAGCACATGGGGGCCGACGGTGTCCGTCAGCAGCCACAGCCTGCTGGCCCCTTGACTGGCGCACTCTGGGGCTCCGCAGCCCACTGCCAGCAGTTCAGAGAAGCTGCCTCTGAGCTGGCCGTCTGGCCGACAGCTGTGGAAGTGATGCAGTGGGTCATGCCCGGGAAAAAGAGAGCATGCAAGAGCATGAGGGACCGGGGGGGGGGGAGGGAAACCAGCTATGCTGGGATGCATCTGGCCACATGGCACCTCGGCGAGTTAGCGGGCGGCTGGTTGAAGAGGGACAGTTGCCATTTCCAGGGCATAGCGCGTGTGCGCACAGAGAGGGCTCTGAGTGCCGCCTCTGGCACACGTGTCATACGTTCACCACCACTGACCTATAGCTTAGGGAAGAGGTCCCCAACCTTTTGGGCACCAGGGACCAGTTCCATGGAGAAAGGTTTTTCTGCAAACTGGAGAGTGCGGGGTTTTGCGTTCTCCCTGCATCCCACAGATGGGGCTTTGCTTGTTTGTGCGGACCGGTTGCTGGCATGCTGTGGCCTGGTACTGGTCCACGGACTGGGGGTTGGGGACCCCTGGCTTAGGGCATCGCAAGTGAACCATACAGGATGACCAGCGCTTGATCATTGTAAGTTAGAAGTTCTGACGTTATAATATCTTCAGATAAGGGTAGAGAATTCTTCTGCCCCCATATAATTATTTCTCCTCTTCATCGCTGCACTGCTGGAAGTCCAGTCCAGCAAGAGCTGCATCCTCTAGTCTAATCCTACAAATTGTAGAAAATAAAGATCTAAGATGGGCAGTCTGCCTTTCCAGATCGCTCACCTCATTCTGGATACAATTTTCTTCCAAACTAGCGCAGCACTTGGAAAGAATTTTGGATGCTTCTCCAGCCAGGGTCATGGCGTTCTCAAAAGGCAGGCTTGGAGTCTGCTGGGTAAATTTTATTAAGTAGCTGGAGCATTAGGGAGAGAAGAAAAAAAATAAATTAGGATTTGGCTAACAAAGCATTGAATTAGCCAATCAAAAATATCCGGCTTTCCTAAGCATTTTTGATGCTGTAGAACAGAGTGTACAACCTTGGCAACTTTTAAGGCTGTGGACCTCAACTCCCAGAATTCCCCAGCCAGCCATGGCTGGCTGGCTGGGGAATTCTGGGAGTTGAGGTCCACAGGTCTTAAAAGTTGTCAAGGTTGAGAAAACCTGAGATATAAACTGAATAAAATTAGTAGAAATAGAGAATAAAGCAATATCTAGGGATGCTAAAATGGTTACCTTTGAGAAACAGGTAGGAAAAGCATAAAATTCACTGCCATCCATATTAGAGGAATATGAGCCGAGGTGGCGCAGCAGTTAGAGTGCAGTACTGCAGTCCACTTTAGCTGACTGTGTTCAGCAGGTCAGCGGTTCAAATCTCACCGGCTCAAGGTTGACTCAGCCTTCCATCCTTCCGGGGTAGGTAAAATGAGGACCCAGATGGTTGGGGGCAATGTAAATATATATATATATATACACTGCTTACTGGTGTACACCGCTTAGAGAGTGCTTGCACTTAAGCCTCATAAATAAATAAATAAATAAATAGATTAAATTCTCCAGGGAATGAGATAGACAAGAATAAATAAAGCAGTTTCTAGACCTCACTAGTAGCTATGCAGGAAATTGATAAAGCCACAGTGGTATATCTGGATCTTGTGAGCTCATATGTCCCACAGGCTTCTTAAATCCTCATCAGTAACTATAACCTGTGAGACCAAATGGAAAGTTTTTGCATGGCTGGTTGGGGAATTCTGGGAGTTGAAGTCCACGAGTCATAAAAGAGCCAAGGTTGCCTACCTCTGGCCTAGGCCTAGGCCGCTTTATGACTCGTGGACTTCAACTCCCAGAATTCCTGAGCCAGCATGGGTCAGCTTGGAAACCTCTCCCTTTCCCCTCAGCATGGCTGGCTGGGGAATTCTGGGAGTTGAAGTCCACAAGTCTTAAAGTTGCCAAGATTAGACACCCCTGATGTCGAACTTAGAGGTAGCCATTTGTAATTCTTAGAGGTAGCCATTTGTTATTTATTCGATATAGCATTTAGGTTGCTAGGCAACGAATTAAAGGCCAACACTGAGAGAAGAAAAGCAAGGAATTCTTGAATTTTAGCTGACTTTTGGGCAGAGCTGAGATTTGGAAAGCATGCAGTAGGCACCCCAGCAAAATTTAACCCACTAAAATGCAATTTCCCTTCCCCAAAATGATTGCTCCAATCGATCTGGCTCCCAACCCAATACTCATTCACCCATGTGATTGGATCGCCACAATCCCCTTTTGTAGGATTCCTTGCTAGCTCAATTCTACCTTGTTTTTTTGGGGGGGGGGCATATAATCAGGTTTCGAAACAAAAATTTAAACTGCGGGTCTGGAGAAAGCCATTCAATTTTTTGTTTTTTAAAAAAATATAACCTGTGGAAGGGGTTGCCTTCAGAAGTTGTGGGTGCACCAACACTGGAAGTTTTTAAGAAGAGATGATAATAACAATAATAAATAAATAAATATAAAAAATAAATAAAAAGTTGGAAGGGACCTTGGAGGTCATCTAGTCCAACCTCCTGCTCAGGCAGGAAACCCTATAGTATTTCAGACCAATGACTGTCCAGTCCCTTCTTAAAAACTTCCAGTGTTGGAGCATTCACCGCTTCTGGAGGCAGGTGGTTCCACTGGTTAATTGTTCTCACTGTCAGGAAGTTTCTCCTTAGTTCTAGGTTGCTTCTCTCCTTGATTAGTTTCCATCTGTTGCTTCTTGTCCTGCCTTCAGGTGCTTTGGAAAATAGCTTGACTCCCTCTTCTTTGTGGCAGCCCCTGAGATATTGGAACACAGCTATCATGTCCCCCCTCGTCCTTCTCTTCATTAAACTAGACATCCCCAATTCCAGCAACCATTCCTTGTAAGTTTTAGCCTCCAGTTCCCTGATCATCTTTGGTGCTCTTCTCTGCACTCTTTCTACAGTCTCCACATTTTTTTTACATCGTGGTGACCATTTGCCTGAAATGGTGCTAGAGCAGGGGGTTGGATTAGAAGACCTCCAAGACCCCTTCCTACTTGGTTATTTTGTTATTCTGAGGTGGAGCAGATGGATGAGATGGAGAAGGTGAAGTAGAAGGAGTAAGGAGGAGGAGGAGGAGGAGAAAGCAGAGGTGGAGGAGAAAGAGGAGGAGGAGGAGATGGAGGAGGAGAAGGACGAGGAGAAGGAGGAGACAGAGGAGGCGAAAGAGAAGAAGGGAAAAAAAACAACAATGGTTTTTTCAGGGCCATGTTCTGTGGAATAGTAATTGAAACGTTCATAGAGAAAAATCTATATATGAGATCAACTAAAAGTCAATACTATCTTGATGGCACCTAATCAAAATGGAAAGATGCACGTATAGAGATGGTAGCCAACGGCACCGTCAATTTCAGGACTCAATTGTGTGAATTTTCAACGGCTAAAACCTTATCCTTCTGACCTAACATAGTTGTGCGAGACAAAAGGATTTCCACTCTACCTGACTTTCGTTTTATTTTCCCCAAGCAAGGCGTGGAGAGCGCAGGCTTTGTTTGACAGGTGGGCAAATGTCTGGACACGTTTGTGTTGTAACCTCTGCGAAAGAAAAGGAATTGAAGACGGTCAGATGGAGACCACACTTGTACTTTAGATGGGTAATCGCTTCCCAAACAAATGAATAGAGCCTCAGCTAATTGGGTGGGGCAACAATGCATTTTTATTCAACTTAACAGACAGGAATTTTGATCTGGGATTCCTGATTCAAGGCACAGAGCTGTGGGACCCTTTAGGAGGTCTGGGATACTTTCTTAAAACATTGTCTATAACCTGGAAACAACACATTCACTGGATAGAATAAAAAACTCCGTTTTTTATGAGCCTGTAATCCCTTAATTTGGGATAGAGTTGGGGTAACTGGATGGAGCTGAGCGTTTACTGGCTGGATGCCCTTCCTGATGCCACATGGAGTTTGCAGCAGATTTGTTTTTCTTTGTGCCCAGAGAGAGAAAAACATCTACTGAATTCTCAACCTTCCAAGTGGGAGGCGAGCATCTTAGAATATGCTGCTAAATTAATCAATTCTCTCTCTCTCCCTCTCTCTCTCTCATACACACACCTATTTATTTATCATCTATCTCTCTATCTCTATCATCTCTCTATCATCTCTCTCTCTCTGTGTATCTATCTATCTATCTATCTATCTATCTATCTATCTATCTATCTATCATCTATCATCAATCTGTCTGTCTCTGTCTGTCTGTCTGCCTGTCTGTCTCTCTCTCTCTATTATCTATTATCTATCATCTGTCTGTCTGTCTATTGATCTATCATCAATCATCAATCATCAATCTGTCTGTCTGTCTCTTTGTCTCTCTCTCTCTCTGTCTATTTATCTATCATCTATCATCAATCTGTCTGTCTATCTGTCTGTCTTTCTTTCTATCCACCCATCCATCTACCTACCTACCTACCTACCTATCATCAATCAGTCTGTCTGTGTCTTTCTATCTGTCTGTCTGTCTGTCTGTCTGTCTCTCTCTCTCTCTTATCTATCATCTGTCTGTCTGTCTATCGATCTATCATCCATGAGTCTGTGTCTATCTATCTATCTATCTATCTATCTATCTATCTATCTATCTATCCATCCATCCATCCATCCATCCATCCATCTCTATCTATCTATCTATCTATCTATCTATCTATCTATCTATCATCTATCATTCAGTCTATCTATCTATCTATCTATCTATCTATCTATCTATCATCAATCAGTCTGTCCGTCCATCCATCCATCCATCCATCCATTCATCTATCTATCTATCTATCCATCCATCCATATCTATCTATCTATCTATCTATCTATCTATCTATCTATCTATCTATCATCTATCATTCAGTCTATCTATCTATCTATCTATCTATCTATCTATCTATCTATCTATCTATCATCAATCAGTCTGTCCGTCCATCCATCCATCCATCCATCCATCCATCCATCCATCTATCTATCTATCTATCTATCTATCTATCTATTTATTATCTATCATCAGTCTGTCTCTCTCTCTCTGTGTCTATCTATCTATCTATCTATCTATCTATCTATCTATCTATCTCTATCAATGATATATTATATATAGATAGCTTGAATATTTGAAACCTTGGCTTTGCTCTGCTTTAAAAATATTCTATTCTTTGGGTCAACTGTGATAGTCTTAACACAGAAGAATCATTGGATGAAAGAACAGAAATATAACCAGTTTTTTTTTTAATGCAATGGAAGGCCAGAATGGAGGTGGGATGAAGTGAGATTACAGTTTGCAGGGCAGCTGATAAGAACAGGGAGAAGAATTGCACTGACCTCTTTCAAAAAGCAGATGTTACGTTGTGTGCTGGCACAGCAAGTTCTCACAAAGGACAAATAATTTCTTGTAGCATTCAGCAAGATTGGCAAAGGAGCATAGCTGTAGTCACTGGAATACTCAGCCAAAAACCTAGAAGACAGGTCAGAAAAAAAGAACACAAAGGAATAACATGGAAGACTAGTTGAGTAAGTACAGGTAGTCCTTGACTTATGACCACAACTGAGCCCAAAATTTCTGTTGCTAAAGGAGACATTTACTAAGTGAGTTTTGCTTCATTTTACAACCTTTCTTGCTACAGTTGTTAAGTGAATCACTGCAATTGTTAAGCTAGCAACTTGGTTGTATAAAGTGATTCTGGTTTCCTCATTGACTTTGCTTGTCTGAAGGTCACCAAAGGTGATCCCATGGCCCAGGGACACTGCAAACCGTCATAAACATGAGTTGGTTGCCCAGCCTCCGAATTTTGATCACGTGACCCTGGGGATGCTGCAAGGGCTGTAAAAATGGTCATCGGTCACTGTTTGCAGTGCCGTTGTGACTGTGCATAGTCCCTAAATTAAGTGTTGTGAATTGAGGGTTACCTGTACTTCACAGCTTTTGCTAGCATATCAGTGTTTCTCAACCTTGACAATTTTAAGGCATGTGGACTTCAACTCCCAGAATTCCACAGCCAGCAATGCTGGCTGTGGAATTCTGGGAATTGAAGTCCACATGCCTTAAAATTGTCAAGATTGAGAAACACCGTGCTAGATTATTACTCTTATCCTCGTTAAATTTTAAATTTAATTTTGTTAAATCAATTTAATTTTTTTATACCAAAGTTAGCCTCATTTCCTTTAGGAACTCTTCATTCCGCACAGACACACACAAGAAGTACATCATTTCTGGCTACTCCAGGGCTCTTCAGATTTGGCCCTTTTATGACTTCTCATCCCAGAAGCTTTTTCAGTGCTGACGGAATGGTGGAGAGTGGAAACTGACCCCGAGAGCAGAGATAAATCTCCAAGTGGCCTCAGTGACTCTCAGAAAGAGACCTAAGGACCAGATGACCGTGAGGAAGAGAAATCCTTCCATTCTCCACCGTTCCGTCAGAACCGAAGAAGCTTCTTGGATGAGAAGCGACACGTCTTCAAGGAAAAACAAAGAAAGTCCAGTTGTCTCGTGAAAAAAGATCTTGTCATGCCTCCGTCGGAGCCTGAATCTGCGGAGGAAAAGGAGCTGGAACGGGATCCTATGGAGGCCGAGGGAGAGGGGTGTGTGGCTTCAGAGGAATGTGGGGAAGAGCAGGCCGAGGGGGGCCAGGGCCCTTCAGGATTGGGACAGGAGGAAGAGGAGAGGCAGAGTTCAGGCGATGAGCAGGGGCTACCCCCACCTGATCCTAGAGTAGTGTTTCTCAACCTTGACAATTTTAAGGCATGTGGACTTCAACTCCCAGAATTCCACAGCCAGCATTGCTGGCTGTGGAATTCTGGGAGTTGAAGTCCACATGCCTTAAAATTGTCAAGGTTGAGAAACACTGTCCTAGAGCATGGAGAGTGGAGAGAAGGAGGGAACAACACAGGCAGGCTCAGTTACCCTGGAGGAGAGCATCCTCCCCCCTCTCCACAAGGCACACCTGGAGACTGAGATTTAAGGAGACGTTGTGGGGAGGGGCTGATTCTTGGAGGGTTGTGTATTGTTGCTGATCTCTTGTTCTATGATTTCTGCTTGGAAACCTGGAAACCTTGACACTGGATTGACCGACCACGTTACTTGAATGTTTAAAGACCTCGGACTGTATTTCGAATTCTCTCTTTTGAAAACTGCTCAGGCTAGCTAGGATTCAAACAGACTCTCGTTAAGGTTATGTTTTCTTCCTTGTTATCTCTATGGCCTTGAGTACTCTCTTGCTAATCAGACTGTATTGGAACTTACTTTCAGCCAGAGTCGGCGGAAGGGGGGTGTGTGTTCTTTTTTTTTTGGAGGCTTGCCAGCAAAAGTGGGAGCATTTGGGGAGAAGTTGGAGCAATAAAAGAACTGTTGGAATTGCCACCTGACTGCATTGCCTCTGTGCTGTTCCCTGGGTCATCACAGACATGCAGAAGTTCACCACACAACGAAGACGGTCGATGCTTTCTGCATCTCACCTCTCTTCGAATCCCTGAGGGTCTTTCTTGAAGGCATCACATATTTCCTCATTGGATGGCTCCACGTAGGTCGGGAACTCCTTAGGTATGTGTTTCAAGGCCGCCAGGCACAGCTTTCGAGAAAGTCCTTGTTCCCTGCAGCATCCAGCTATCCCTGGATGTCTTGGGAAGGGAGCATCTGGGCGGCAGGATTTTTCAGAGAAAGCAGTCGACTTTTTTTTGGGGGGGGGGATTAGGGTTGGTGGGAATGGGAGAGAGGGGGAAGATAGAGAAAGAAGGGTAGGTTATTAGTCCCATCTGACTTTGAGGGGTCCTTGGTGCTCTTTGAGCTTCATTGTTTTCTCGCAGACGTTTCATGACCCAATTAGGTAACATCATCAGGGCTAGAAGGGAGTAAGGTTTGCATATATATATATAAACAGAGAGCATATCCCATTCCTTTCTATCACTAATGATATTACCTAGTTTGGGTAATGAAACATCTGCAAGAAAACAGCCAAGCTCAGAGAAGACTAAGGACCACATAGTCCTCCTCCTGTTCCTCCTCCTCCTCCTCTTCTTTTACTTCTACTTCTTCTTCCCTCCATTCTTTCCTCCTCCTCCTCCTCCTCTCTGCAAACCCCTTTCCCTTTTAAGTCGATGTTACCTAGTTTGAGTAATGAAACATCTGCAAGAAAACAACCAAGCTCAGAGAACACTAAAGACCACATAGTCCTCCTCCTCCTCCTCCTCCTCCTCCTCCTCCTCCTCCTCCTCCTCCGACTCCTCTTTTACTTCTACTACTACTTCTACTTCTCCCCATTCTTCTCTCCTCCTCCTCCTCCTCTCTGCAAACCCTATTCCTTTTTAAGTCGATGTTACCTAGTTTGAGTAATGAAACGTCTGCAAGAAAACAACCAAGCTTAGAGAACACTAAGGACCACATAGTCCTCCTTCTGTTCCTCCTCCTCCTCCTCCTCCTCTTCTTCATCTTTTACTTCTACTACTACTTCTACTTCTCCCCATTCTTCTCTCCTCCTTCTCCTCCTCCTCTTCTTCTTCTTTTACTTCTACTTCTCCCCATTCTTCTCTCTTCCTCCTCTTCCTCCTCCTCCTCTCTGCAAACCCCATTCCCTTTTAAGTCGATGTTACCTAGTTTGAGTAATGAAACGTCTGCAAGAAAACAACCACGCTCAGAGGGCACCAAGGAGCCCCCGTTTCCATTCCGAGCTACACATTTTCTCCTTTATTCCCCCAACTTTCTCCGGAGAGGAAGAAGGGGAAGTCAGTTCCATTCTATATCAGCAAAGTTTCATTTAGCTTACTGTCCTATTTTCCACTGAAGCCAGCTAGCTATCTTAAGAAAGATCACAAGCTGGCCCTGAAGGCAGGATCTGTCTTCCATGCTGGCTCCCAGCAGTTGGTTTTTGTCATGCACAAGGGAACCAGGAGGACACTGTGAGCTGATCAGAGTTGCTTCTTTATTGCTCTCAACCTACTTACAAGAATCTCTTCAGACTGGCTGCATTCTCTTGGGAAGAGACAGATAAAGGTCGCAGGGATTATTATTATTGTTTTTTGGGTGTGTGTGTGTTTCTGTGTTAGGTCTGCACTGCTTGCTTCTTGCTCTGAGAGAGAGAGAGAGAGGGAGAGGGAGGGAGAGACAGAGAGAGGGAGAGAGAGAGGGAGAGAGGGAGAGAGAGAGGGAGAGGGAGAGGAGAGAGAGGGAGAGGGAGGGCGGGAGAGAAGGAGAGGCAGGAGGAAGGAGAGGGAGAGGGAGAGAGGAGGAGAGGGAGGGAGAGAGACAGAGAGAGGGAGAGAGAGAGGGAGAGGGGAGAGAGAGAGGGAGAGGGAGAGGAGAGAGGGAGGGAGGAAGAGAGAGGGAGAGAGAGAGGAGAGGGAGGGAGGGAGGAGAGAGAGAGGGAGAGAGAGCAGGAGGGAAGGCGAGGAGAGGAGAGAAGGGAGAGGGAGGGAGAGAGCAGAGCAGGAGGGAGGGAGAGAGGGAGAGAGAGGGAGAGAGAGGGTGAGAGGGAGAGAGAGACAGACAGAGAGAGAGAGAGAGAGGGAGAGGGAGGGAGGGAGAGAGAGAGGGGGAGGGGGAGAGGGAGAGAGGAGGGAGAGACAGAGAGGGAGAGAGAGGGAGAGGGAGGGAGGGAGAGAGGGAGAGAGAGCAGGTGGGAAGGAGAGGGAGAGGGAGGAGGGAGAGAGGGAGGGAGAGAGACAGAGAGAGGGAGAGAGAGAGGGAGAGGGAGGGAGAGAGGGAGGGAGAGACAGAGAGAGGGAGAGAGAGGGAGAAGGGAGGGAGGGAGAGAGGGAGAGAGAGCAGGAGGGAAGGAGAGGGAGAGGGAGAGGGAGAGAGAGGGAGAGGGAGAGAGAGCAGGAGGGAGGGAGAGAGGGAGAGAGAGGGAGAGAGAGAGGGGGGAGAGGGAGAGAGAGACAGAGAGAGAGAGAGAGAGAGAGGGAGAGGGAGGGAGGGAGGGAGAGAGGGGGAGGGGGAGAGGGAGAGAGAGAGAGAGAGAGAGAGAGAGAGAGAGAGAGAAGAGAGAGAGAGAGAGAGAGAATCTAGCTGGAGATTAGACCACAGTTTTCAATGATATGTTTCTTTCAAACATGGAGTACATATAGACAGTCTTTGTAAATAATCCTAGATGATGTTAAAGCTATCTGAATTCCAGGGTATATGGAGATGTGCAATCCCATTGTGCTAGTTTTCTAACATAAACAACTATTCCCAGCTTCCTATTAGGAATTCAACCATGGGGTCCTTGGTGCTCTCTGTGGTTCGTTGTTTTCTCCCAGACGTTTCATTACCAAACTAGGTAACGTCATCAGTACTACGACTGCTAGCACCGAGGACGTTACCTAGTTTGGCAATGAAGCATCTGCAAGAAAACAACCAACCTCAGAGGCCAGCAAGGTGCCCCATGGTTGAATCTTGAGCTACAAATATTCTCTCCTATTGGTGCTCATGAAGCCATCTCTGGTCCGAGAAAGGCTGGATCGGCCTTCACGGACGCCGAAGTTTACCTCGTTTTCATAGCAGTCTGGAGCAGCTCCTGCGGTACAACATTTTTTGGCCAAGTCCACCATGTCGTTGACGAGGCTGATGATTTGTTCAAAGGTGGCATTACAATACTTCCTGCTGTTTATGGTGATTGACCTGCAAACAAAGTAATATCCTGGGTTGTATAAAACAGAGGTATAGCATTCACAGCATTCACCGCTTCTGGTGGCAAGTTGTTCCACTGGTTAATTGTTCTCACTGTCAGGAAGTTTCTCCTTAGTTCCAGGTTGCTTCTCTCCTTGATGAGTTTCCATCCATTGTTTCTTGTCCTGTCTTCCCGTGCTTTGGAGAATTGTTTGACTCCCTCTTCTTTGGGGCAGCCCCTGAGATATTGGAACCCTGCTATCATTTCCCCCCTTGTCCTTCTCTTCGTTAAACTAAACATCCCCAATTCCAGCAGCTGTTCCTTATATGTTTTAGCATCCAGTCCCCCGATTATCTTTGTTGCTCTTCTCTGTACTCTTTCTAGAGCAGTGGTTCTCAACCTATGGGTCGGGACCCCATTTGGGGTCGAACGACCATTTCACGGGGGTCGCCAAACAATGCAGTCTGCCATTTTTTCCCCCTTTTCCTTAGCTGTGCTACTCCCTTTTATTCTATTGGCTTTTGAAAGCCAATAGAATAGACTCTCTTGAATAGAGTCTAATTCTATTGGCTTTCAAAAGCCAATAGGAATTGTCCAGGCTGTCTCTGCCCTGCTGAGCCCGCCAAAAGTCCCATTCTGCAAACGGTGCTGCACCAGTTGAGTAGTCCTCAACTTATGACCGGTTGATAGTCCTCGACCTACGACCGGTGGGGGGTCACGGCATTAAAAAGGTTGAGAACCACTGTTCTAGAGTCTCAGCATCTTTTTTATATCGTGGTGACCAAAACTGGATCATAGAATCAAGATCACGCGAAGTATTAGTACCGCTTTATAAAGCCCTAGTGAGACCACACCTGAAATACTGCAACCAGGTTTGGTCACCATACTACAAAAAAGATGTTGAGACTTTGGAAAAAGTTCAGAGAAGAGCAACTAAGATGATCAAAGGTCTGGAGACTAAAACATACAAAGAACGGCTGCAGGACTTGGGTTTGGCTAGTCTAAAGAAAAGAAGGAACAGGGTTGAGATGACAGCAGTTTTCCAGTATTTGAGGGGCTGCCACAAAGAAGAGGGGGGTCAACCTATTTTCTAAAGCACCAGAAGGCAAGACAAGAAACAATGGATGGAAACTAATCAAGGAGAGAAACAACCTGGAATTAAGGAGAAACTTCCTAACGGTGAGAACAACTAACCAGCGGAACTGCTTGCCTTCAGAGGTTGTGGGTGCTTCATCACTGGAGATTTTTCAAAAAGAGATTGGCCAATGATTTGTCTGAAATGGTCTAGGGTTTCCTGTCTGAGCAGGGGGTTGGACTAGAAGACCTCCCAGGTCCCTTCCAACTCTTGTTATTCTGTATTACTTTGGGTCAGCGGTGGGATTTTTAAAAAGAGACTGGACAGCCACTTGTTTGAAATGGTATAGACTAGAGCAGGGCTTTTCAACCTTTTCACCCATTGTACCACTTTTAGGATATGGTAACATTCAAGTACCACCAGTTGCCTAGCAAGGTGTCAAAAACTTGATGACCCCCCCCCCAAAAAAAGGAAAAAAGTGATGAAGTACAGGTAGTCCTCGACTTACAACAGTTCGCTTAGTGACTGTTCGAAGTTACAATGGCACTGAAAAAAGTGCCCCCCCAAGCCACAGCCAAGCAAGACACCTGCCTGCCCGCCTGGTGGCGCTCTTCCTCCTGTCCGAGGTTTTCACTGTTGTGAGCATTTCTGTTGAGGATTGGCAGCAGGGATGGGGTGGGGGTGTGTGCGGTTTTTATTCCCCCCGTCTGCTGGGTGGTTGCAGCAGGTTTTGATCACTTCACATGACCCTGGGACACTGTGACCGTCATAAATATGAATCAGTTGCCAAGCATCTGAATGTAAATCACAAGACCCTGGAGATGCTGCAACATTCCAGCTGATCGGTGCTTCTTCTGGGCTCAGCAGAAGTGTCAGGATCAGCACTCAGCTCTAGCTGGAGCCTGGCACTGATACTGGCGCTTCTGCTGAGCCCTGACAACCCCAAAGAAGCGCCGATCAGCTGGAAAGGGCACTGATCCTGGCGCTTCCGCTGAGCCCTGACAGCCCTGCAGCTCCAACTGTCTCTCGCTCAGGCTTGTGCGGTGCTGCCACTGGTTCAGCTCATTCCTCTCCCCCGCTACCACTTTTCTAGGATGGTCACATACCACCTGCCAGGTGCTAATGTACCACAGGTGGTACCCGTACCACTGGTTGAAAAGCCCTGGACTAGAGTCTTCTGCTTGAGCAGGGGGCTGGACTAGAAGACCTCCAAGGTCCCTTTGAGCTCTATACTATTCTTCAAAGAAAACTGACCTGAACTGACCTGAACTTAAAGGTCTGTTTGTTGCAGTTGTGGGGCTAAAGCTGGGCCACCATGGAGAGATTTTTTCCCCCCAGAGCAGATGCATATTAAAAAGAGTCACAGCTTTAACTGCAAGGCAGTCACTATCTTAACTTTTTGGAGTCTTTCCTTGTCGATATCCCTGGCCCGAAAAGCCCATATATTCTAGAACAGGGGTGTCAAACTCAATTTCTTTGAGGGCCGCATCTGCATTGCGGTTGCCCCCAGGGGGGGCAGGTGGATGTGGCCAGGGTAGGTGTGGATGGTGTGGGTGTGGCCTATTGGGTGGGCATGGCCAGCTCTACATCATTCGCGCCAGATATGTGAAGTAGGTGAGGGCCATTTGCTGGCCACTTCCAGGCGATGATGCATTTCTTCATTCCTCACAAAGGGTGACCCCTCCCCAGCATGCACCCAGGGGGCGGGGGCAACGCAGCAGGGGCTGTTTCCTCGCTGTTTCCAAACGGCCTTGTGGAGCTAAGACTGAATGCATTTCAGCATAAATGGCCACCACAAAATTGTACATTGGCTTCCGGGTGGCCTGGGCCAGGGCCAAGGCAGCAGAGGGCCGTTCCCTCACTGTTTCCAGGATGGCTTCGCTGGCCACATGAAACCACTTTGTGGGCTGCATCCGGCCCCCCGGGCCTTGTGTTTGACATGTCTGCTCTAGAATCTTGCAGACACTATGTATCCCTTAGCTATACAACTAGTCCTCCACTTATGACTGTAATTGAGCATGGAAGGATGATTATAAATCATTGCAGTTGTTAAGTGGGTCACTTACATGACCAGATTTCCCCATTTTGCAGCATTTTTTTTTTGCAGCAGCTGTTAACCGAATGTAGTAGTTCAGTGAATTTATTTTACGCAATGGGTGTTTCTTTGCTGGAAACAGGAAGTAAATGCCGGAAACTGGCAAAAAAAAAATCACCGACAATAGTGGTCATGTAACTCAAAAATAGCCATAAAGGGGAGTCTGGTTGCCAAGTGCCCAAAATGTGATCGTAGGACCATGATATGTGTATTTGTGTTTGTGTGTGTGGCTGTTGTAACTTCGAAATCAGATCATAACAGATTGAGGAAATCTGTTGTAACTTAGAACAGTCAGTAAGCGATCAGCTGTAAGTTGAGGACTACCTGTATTTTTTATTTCTTGCTGATACAGGTGGTCCTCGACTTACAACAGTTCATTTAGTGACTGTTCGAAGTTACAACGGCACTGAAAAAGGTTGTCAACGCTACTAACATCGGATGTTCTTGCTTTGACAACAGATAGAAATGCAGCCGTTTTTCCTCTGTCGCTTTTAGAGTTAGTTGATGCTGGGAGGGGGAATGTGGGTAAGAGTCCAGCTAGTCATAACAATAATAACTCAGCCTGGGAACTCAAGGTCATTGGGCCCAGAGTTGATACAGTTTGGGAGAAAGCCTGCACTTCAAGCTAATTGGGGAATGTGATTTATGACTGTTAATTGGAGGATGGAATTGTGCTTTGCTACTTTGTGCCTAGGGGAGGGGAATTCAGTTTTTGGCTTTAACTATGTAGTGCCGATACTTTGTTTTGTTGAATAAAAGATTCTTTAAGGTAAAACAATGCCTCAAAGTTCTTTTGAAGAGTTTCATCTGTCGGAACCGTGACAAAGGTGACTTATGACCGTTTTTCACAGTTACAACCTTGGCAGCATCCCCATGGGCACGTGATAAAAATTTGGACTCTTGGCAACTGGAGTCATGTGATAATCCCCTTTTGTGACCTTCTGACAAGCAAAGCCAAGAGGGAAGCCCGGATTCACTTAACAACCGAGTTACTAACTTAGCATTTGCAGTGATTCACTTAACAGGTGTGGCAACAAAGGTTGTAAAATGGGGCAAAATCCACTTAACAACCATCTCGCTTAGCAACAGAAATTTTGGGCTCCGTTGTGGTCGTAAATCCAGGACTATCTGTACTTTGATGCCATCTTTTGGGGCACCGAAGTTTTCTATGCACAGCAAGTATACAGTATATTTAAAAATGCTACGCCAATATTCTGAACTCCGAAAGCTGAAAAGAATCTGGTTTCAAAACACCTACAAGAAGCGAAAATTCCTTTCTCCAAATGTGTTGTATTCATTGCAGACTTTTTCTTTGAAGTAATCCTTGCCTGTCAAAACAAAAGATGAAAGGTGGGTTAGTAATCATTCAGATGTGGAAGAGAAAGAAAACAGCAGATCCAGCAAGGATTTACACCAGGAGTAGGCAACCTTGGTTCTCTTATGACTCGTGGACTTTAACTCCCAGAATTCCTGAGCCAGCCATGCTGAGGGGAAAGGGAGAGTTTCCAAGCTGAGCCACGCTGGCTCAGGAATTCTGGGAGTTGAAGTCCACAAGTCATAAAGCAACCTAGGCCTAGGCCAGAGGTAGGCAACTTTGGCTCTTTTATGACTGGTGGACTTCAACTCCCAGAATTCCTGAGCCAGCATGGCTCAGCTTGGAAACTCTCCCTTTCCCCTCAGCATGGCTGGCTCAGGAATTCTGGGAGTTGAAGTCCACGAGTCATAAAAGAGCCAAGGTTGCCTACCTCTGGCCTAGGCCTCGGCTGCTTTATGACTGGTGGACTTCAACTCCCAGAATTCCTGAGCCAGCATGGCTCAACTTGGAAACTCTCCCTTTCCCCTCAGCATGGCTGGCTCAGGAATTCTGGGAGTTAGTCCACCAGTCATAAAAGAGCTGAGGTTGCCTACCCCTGCTCTAGGTGAGACTTGGTGACGATTCTGATGCTTGCCATCAGCTTTGCATAGAAGGCAGAATTCCCATTTACATTCCAGCTAACTCCAGAATGGTCACGGATTACCCTCGATTTACACTAGTTCATTTAGTGACCATCCAAAGTTACGATGGCACTGAAAAATAGTGACTTATGACCGTTTTCCACACTCCTGACCATTGCCCCATCTCCTTGATCACGTGATCAATATTCGGATGCTTGTCAACTGACTCATATTTATGACGGTTGCTGAGTCCTGGGATTATGTGATCTGCTTTTGCCATGTTCCTGACAAGCAAAGTCGACGGGCCAGACTCACTTAACAGCCGTGTTACTAACTTAGAAACGGTGGCAAGAAAAGTTATAAAATAGAGCAAAACTCACTTAACACACGTCTCGCTTAGCAATGTAAATTTTGGGCTCAGTTGCAGTTATAAGTTGAGGGCTACCTATATTTGAAGTGGAAAGACATTCCTATTGTCTTCCTTCCTTCCTTCCTTCTTTCCTTCCTTCCTTCCTTCCTTCCTTCCTTCCTTCTTCCATCTCTCCCTCCCTCCCTTCTTTACAATTCACATTTCAACAAAGAAAGAGGAGGAGGAGATGAGGAAGAGGAGGAAGAGGAGAAGAGGAGGAGGAGGAGTGGGGGAGGAGGAGAAGAAGAAGAAGAAGAGGAGGAGGAGGAGGAGGAGGGGAGGAGGAGAAGAAGAATGAGAAGTAGAATAAGAATAAGAAGAGGAGGAAGAGGAGAAGAAGAATAAGAAGAAGAGGAGGAAGAGAAGAAGAGGAGAAAGGAGGAGAAGAATGAGAATAATAATAATGAGAAGTAGAAAAAGAATAAGAATAAGAAGAGGGAAGAGGAGAAGAAGAAGAAGGAGGAAGAAGAGAGAAGGAGAAGAAGAGGAGGAGGAAGAGGAGAAGAAGAATGAGAAGTAGAAGTAGAAGAAGAATGAGAAGAAGAGGCGGAAGAGGAGAAGAAGGAGAAGAAGAAGAATGAGAAGTAGAAGTAGAAGAAGAATAAGAAGAGGAGGAAGAGGAGAAGAAGGAGAAGAAGAGGAGGAGAAGAGAAGAACGAAAAGAAGAAGAAGAAAGAGGAGGAGAAGAAGAATGAGAAGAAGAGGAGGAAGAGAAGAGGAGAAAGGAGGAAAAGAAGAATGAGAAGAATAATGAGAAGTAGAATAAGAATAAGAATAAGAGGAGGAAGAGGAGAAGGAGAAGAAGAAGAGGAGGAGGAGGAGGAAGAGAGAAAGAGAAGAAGAGGAGGAGAAGAGAAGAAGAATGAAAAGAAGAAGAAGAAATAGAAGCAGAAGTAGAAGTAAGTAATAAGTAGTAGTAGAAGAAGAAGAAGAAGAGAAGAATGAGGAGGAGGAGAACTTGCTTTTTGCACTAAGCAAGGCCAGAAGGAACAGCAGCCTCTTTGCCATAACAAATTCTATTATCACTTTCATCACAAGCAGATCAGAAAAGCTCTTTGAACATTCATCCTATCTGTCATAAATCATACTGGGTGAACAAATAAATGTCTATTTTTTAAAACAGCGCCACAGTATAAAAAGATTACATTGACCTTTCTTCTTCCGACAGCTGAGTTGATAGAAATGGAGTTTAGAAACTTCCTCCCAATCGCCCTGCCGATCTCTTAAAGCTTTCTTTCTATCTGTTTAGCGATGGCTTTGCCTAGATAAGTTCCTCCTTTAGAGAGAGATTATAAATCTTGGCTTAAATGGAGAACATCCATTGAAATGATTGCTTCTGGTTACTTCAGGCCGCTCAATGCAGTCTGAGCATCCACCCCCCCCCCCAGGAAAAGAGCCTTTTAAATGAAGGCCTCCCTCTGTTTCTTCTCTCTCCAGCTACTTTAGAGATACTCCTCCCATTAGTGTTCTGCTGTCTTCCCTGATTTATTAAAACCACGGAGAAAGGAGAAATTTTAAACTCCTCCTTCAGAGTTTCTCTTATCTTCAAGGTTCACCTGGGAAATCAAAACAATGCTTAGTTTTTTTTTTTTTTTTAAAAAGACCTTGCTTGCGCTCTCTCTTGCATGGAGCCCATGCGGTGCAAAGTCAGTAACTCTGAAAAAAAAAAAAAAAAAGGAAAATTTGAAAGGAAAAGAATTTCCTCCTCTGTCAAAATGCTCAGAGGCAGGTGGCTGAAATGCACCATCCCTAGAAATTAGGCTGATACAAGGTGTCTTACATCCACCAAGTAAAGCTGGTGGATGTAAGACACCTATTGCAATGAGTTATTTTCCAAATTAAAATAAGAAGAATGTTGCAGTTCTGTGTGTGTGTGTGTGTGTGTGTGTGTGTGCGCGGAGGGGGGTCATTCAAGGGTGTCCTGGGGGGGTGGGAGGGTCGATGATGTCAAAATGAGTGTAATTGGTTGATTGAAGCTCTGCCCCTTTTTACTGGAAGCATATTAGCCATAGCATTTAGACTTATATGCCGCTTCACAATGCTTTTACAGCCCTCTCTCTAAGCGGTTTACAAAGTCAGACTGTTGCTCCCAACAATCTGGGTCCTCATTTTAAAGACCTTGGAAGGATGGAAGGCTGAGTCAACCTTGAGCTGGTCAGGATCGAACTGCTGGCAGTGAGTAGTGAGGTAGCCTGTGGCATTGCATTCTAACCACTGCACCACCATAGCTCCTTCCTTCCTTCCTTCCTTCCTTCCTTCCTTCCTTCCTTCCTCCCTCCCTCCCTTGATCCATCCATCCTTCCTTCCTTCTTTCCTTCCTTCCTTCTTCCCTCCTTCCCTTGATCCTTCCTTCCTTCCTCCCTCCCTCCCTCTATCCATCCTTCCTTCCTTCCTTCTTCCCTCCTTCCCTTGATCCTTCCTTCCTTCCTTCCTTCCTTCCTTCCTTCCTTCCTTCCTTCCTTCCTTCCTTCCTTCCTTCTTCCCTCCTTCCCTTGATCCTTCCTTCCTTCCTCCCTCCCTCCCTCTATCCATCCTTCCTTCCTTCTTCCCTCCTTCCCTTGATCCTTCCTTCCTTCCTTCCTCCCTCCCTCCCTCCCTATATCCATCCTTCCTTCCTTCCTCCCTCCCTCCCTCCCTCCCTTGATCCATCCTTCCTCTCTCCCTCCCTCCCTCCCTTGATCCTTCCTTCCTTCCTTCCTTCCTTCCTTCCTTCCTTCCTTCCTTCCTTCCTTCCTTCCTTCCTTCCTTCCTTCCTTCCTTCCTTCCCAATAGCACTTAGATTTATATGCCGCTTCATAGTGCTTTACAGCCCGCTCTAAGCGGTTTACAGAGTCAGCATTCTGTCCCCAACAACCTGGATCCTCATTTTACCGATCTCGGAAGGATGGAAGGAAGTCAAGCTTGAATATTAATTTTCTTTTAATTTTTTAACTGAGGCATATTAAAGACCTATCCCTTTGTTGTGTGGATGGACAGGTGGTCCTCGACTTACAACACTTCATTTAGTGACCGTTCGAAGTTACAATGTCATTGGAAAAAAAAAGACGTGACCATTTTTGCAGCAGTCCCAGGCTCACGGGATCAAAATTCAGACGCTTCCCAACTGACTCATACTTACGACAGCTGCAGTGTCCCAGGGTCACGCGATCCCCTTTGGTGACCTTCTGACAAACAAAGTCAATGGGGAAGCTGGATTCACTTAACAGCCGTGTTACTAACTTAACAGCTGCAGTGATTCACTTAACAACGGTGGTGGGGAAGCTCGTAAAATGGGGAAAAACTCATTTAAACAATTGTCTCACTTAACAATCTAAATTCTGGGTTCAATTGTGGTCGTAAGTCGAGGACCATCTTCATGAGACAGTGGTAGAGAGCAACAATGACAAAAGAATTGGCATCTTTAAATTTAACCATGCACTTAGCGGCAGAAATTTTGGGCTCAGTTGTGGTTGCAACTTTGAACAGTCACTAAACGAACGGTTCTAAGTCAAGGACCACCTGTATTCATGACAGTTGCAGCATCCTGGAATTACGTGACTGCCATTGGCGATCTTCTCAAGCAGTTCCAACAAGCAAAGTCCATGGTGGAAGACTGAGTTCGCTTAACGGGCACTTGATTCTGCAACGATTCGCTGAACAATAGAATCTATTCTATTCTAGATCCAATACCTCTTCTCTTCTCTTCTCTTCTCTTCTCTTCTCTTCTCTTCTCTTCTCTTCTCTTCTCTTCTCTTCTCTTCTAGATCCAATACCTCTTGTCTTCTCTTCTCTTCTCTTCTCTTCTCTTCTCTTCTCCATTTTCTATTCTATTCTCCATTTTCTCTTCTCTTCTCTTCTCCATTTTTTATTCTATTCTCCATTTTCTCTTCTTTTCTACATTTTCTCTTCTATTCTATTCTCCATTTTCTCTTCTCTTCTCTTCTCTTCCTTATTCTCTATTCTATTCTATTCTATTTTTACTCTCTCTTCTCTTCTCTTCTCTTC